GCCCCCGCCCCCACCTCCCCTCCCCCGGAGCCCTGCTGCACTGCCAGCCCGAGCCGCCCCCCAGGCGTGCACCCCCCACAGCCCGGGACCAGCCCCCGTACCTTGGATCAAATACGCCAGCAGATAGAAGCAGCGGGCGGGCGCGCCGGGGGCAGCCCCGGGACACGGGCCCTTGTCCAGCAGAGGCCTGGCAGGAGAAGCAGCGACTTGCAGCGCCCACTCCCATTGCTCCAGGGCCGCTCCCTTGCCACCACACCCTGCCCTCCAGCCCACAGCGCCCAGCCTGGCCCAGGTCCCTGCTTCCTTCACAGCTCAGATCCAAGCCCCTGCCCAGATCCCTCTCACCTTCTCCTGTCCACCCCAGCCCAGCACTCCCTGTGCCTGGCTCAGTCACCCTCCCCCCTCCATGACCCCTGTGCTCCTGTGGGGCCAGGGCCTTGGGCAGGCACGTGCAGCAAGTGGCCCACACCCCTGCATTACGGGCAGCAGGCTGGGAACTTCACTGCATGCCCCAAGGGCTGCTCTTACCACAGCTGGTGCTGGGGGTTCATCTCCACCATGCGGATTTCCTTCACTCGGCTCCTGTGCTTGCCTGGCAGCTCTTGCAGGAGACCTAGGCAGGAGCAGCCAGGACTGTTACCCAGCAGGCAGGTCTCCAGAGCACAGGCCTGCTCGGGGGGCCACGTTCGATCTGTTCTCAGCAGGGAAGGATTTTCCAGCACCCCCGGCCGTGCAGCCCGTGGCCAGGCCGGTGGCGGATTCCCTGCCCGAGGGACAACAGGCAAAGCCCCCAACTCCTACCTGTCAAGCACTGTGCAAACTGGTCACAGCGGCTCTGGTTGCGGATGAGCAGGTTGTAGGAGGCCGTGGGGTTTTCGAACTCCATGCGCAGGCTCTGGCGGCCCAGCCCCATCTCCAGGTAGCAGAGATCAGACAGGTCGTGGCAGTCGCTTTTCTTCAGCCAGTCCGCGGGCTGCCCCCTGAGCAGAGCACAGTTCTCCATAACAGGCTGCAGCACCCCCGGCTCCTAGGCAGGCCTCTAGCAGCAGAGCCTGAGCGACTGGAGCACCGCCAGCTGCCCTGGGAAGGAGCCACAGCCCAGCAAGGACCCGGGAACAGGCACACTGCCGCAGA